GAAAAAGAAAAACTTTCACCATCATTCACTCCATCACTGTCTTGCCAGAAGGGTGCTTTACACTACAGTTTTTAAACTGCAACATTAACACCCCTCCTTCAGAGTGCAGGCACTGTACTTCCCATCTCCAGGACTCAAGTCCGGCCTGCCGGTTTCCCTGAACCCCTTCATAAATGTTACTTTGCTCACACTCCAACAGCATGTCAAGTATTAAAAACCATTTGTCTCCATTCACTCCTATCAAACCTTTATATTATAATAATAAGGTAAAAGGACCCCAATGGAAATAAGTCACTCTGTCTGACTTTTTTGGATTATCCTAGGTTCTCTACACATATGCTGCTATGTATGATAATTCTATGTAACTGTATTTGTGTATACCTGAATAAACTTACTTACTTACTTAATTAAAGAGAGAAATAAAAAAGGAATAAGAAAAGCAAAAAGGAACTATAAGGCTAAGGTCGCAAGGGATTCGAAGACTAACCCAAAAGGGTTCTTTCAGGTATACAGAAGTAAGATTAGGGACAAGATAGGCCCACTTAAGAGTAACTCAGGTCAGATCACTGATAGTGATAAGGATATGTGTGAAATTTTCAATACTTACTTCCTCTCAGTTTTTACCCAGGAAAATACAAAATTCCAGAAATAATAGCTTATGTAGAACAGGATGATGATAAACTATGCACGATTGCAGTAACTAGTGATATGGTTCTCAGACAAATAGAGAAATTAAAACCTAACAAATCCCCAGGCCCTGATGAACTGTTTGCAAGGGTGTTAAAGGAATGTAAAGAGGAACTTAGCATACCTTTGGCTAATCTTTTCAACATATCACTGCAAACTAGCATAGTGCCTGATAAATGGAAAATGGCAAATGTAATACCTATTTACAAGGCAGGTGACAGGTCCTTAGCTTCGAACTATAGACCAATAAGCCTTACCACCATAGTGGGAAAATTTATGGAATCAATAATTGCCAAAGCAATTCGTAGCCATCTCGAAAGGCATAAATTGATTAATGAATCTCAGCATGGTTTTACAAATGGGCATTCCTGTCTTATGAATTTACTAACTTTCTTCACTAAGGTATTTGAGGAGGTAGATCATGGTAATGAATATGATATTGTGTAAATGGACTTCAGTAAGGCTTTCGATAGAGTTCCACATCAGAGGCTATTGAGGAAACTTAAGGCACACGGAATAGGAAGAGAGTTTTTTCCTGGGTTGAGGCATGGTTGACGAATAGGCAGCAGAGAGTTTGCATAAATGGGGAGAAATCAGAATGGGGGCACATCACAAGTGGTGTTCCACAGGAGTCAGTGTTGGGCCCCTTGCTGTTCACAATCTACATAAACGACATAAATGAGGGAATAAATAGCGACACAAGCAAATTTGCTGATGACACCAAAATAGGCCGTCCAATTCATTCTAATGAGGACATCAAAGCACTCCAGGATGATTTGAATAGACTCATGCAGTGGTTGGAAAAGTGGCAGATGCAGTTTAATATAGACAAATGCAAAGTTCTAAATGTTGGACAGGAAAATAACCATGCCACATATAAACTAAATAATGTAGATCTTAATATTATGGATTGCAAAAAGGATTTAGGAGTTCTAGTTAGCAGTAATCTAAAACCAAGACAACAGTGCATTAGTGTTTGCAATAAAGCTAACAGAATCCTTGGCTTCATAGCAAGAAGTATAAATAATAGTAGTCCTCAGGTTGTTCTTAACTCTATATATCTTTGATTAGGCCTCATTTAGATTATGCTGCACAGTTTTGGTCACCTTATTACAGAATGGATGTAAATGCACTGGAAAACATACAAAGGAGGATGACAAAGTTGATCCCATGTATCAGAAATCTTCCCTATGAGGATAGACTGAGGGCCCTGAATCTGCACTCTCTAGAAAGGCATAGAATTAGGGGGGATATGATTGAGGTGTATAAATGGAAAACAGGAATTAATAAAGGGGATGTAAATAGCATGCTAAAAATATCTAACACAGACAGGACTCACAGCAATGGCTTTAAATTGGAAAAATTCAGATTCAGGAAGGATATAGGAAAGCACTGGTTTGGTAATAAAGTTGTGTATGAGTGGAACAAACCCCCGAGTACCGTCATAGACGCTAAGACGTTGTGCAGTTTTAAAAATAGGTTGGATAAATACATGAGTGGGTGTGGGTGGGTGTGAGTTGGACCTGACTAGCTTGTGCTACTAGGTCAGATGCACTGCTCCTCCCTTAAGTGACCTGTCTGACCTCACTAGGTCAAGGCATTTACTTAAGCCGGTGGGAGAATTGGAGCTGCCTCGCATAGGCCAGTAGGCCTGTTGCAGAGTTCCTTCTTTCTTATGTTCTTATAATTATTTTCAACACACTGGCTATCTCCCACCAAGGCAGGGTAACCCAAAGAAGGAGGAATGTAAAGTTTTTCTTCTTTGTTTTTTTTATTTTTATTATTTTATTATCACACTGGCCGATTCCCACCAAGGCAGGGTGGCCCTAAAAAGAAAAACTTTCACCATCATTCACTCCATCACTGTCTTGCCAGAAGGGTGCTTTACATTTTGTTTGTATTTAGTAATTTAAACAGGAGAAGAAGTTACTAGCCCCTTGCTACCAGCATTTTAGTCGCCTCTTATGAAACGCATAGCTTATAGAGGAAGGATTCTTCTCCACTTCTCCATGGAGAATTATTATCATTATTATTATTATTTATCACACTGGTTGCCTTGCACCAACGTAGGGTGATCCCACCCCCCCCAAAAAAAAAAAACATTCACCATTATACATTCAATATCTACCTTGTAAGAAGTGTGCAGGCAACACAATTCAAATGACTCTCTAAACTAAAACCTTCATACCCCTCTTTCAGAGTGCAAGCAATGTGCTTCTGACCTTCAGACTCAAGTCCAGCTAAATGACCTCCCTCAGTTCTTTCCGAAATGTTACTCTGCTCAGATTCCTCAAATCATTTATTTGCATACTCCAATACATGCCTGCTAGATTCTTAAACCCATACCATTTAAAACCTCCTTCACACCTTCCTGGAAGGACCCCCCACCCATCCCTTCCTTACACCTTTGAGTTATACTCTCTCTTGGTTATCCTATTCTGCTCCATCCTTTCTAAATGCTCAAACTTCCTCAACAACCCCTCCATTACCCTCTGAATATTACCTTTCATAACTGAACACCATCTCCTAATTTCTACACCCTGCAATTTAAAGGAGGGATTTGGGACATTGGCAGTTTGGAGGGACATCTAAACTGTCATATATGTGTGCCCCTGCAAAGACAGTGATTATGTATGACTGATGGTCAAAAAGTTGAGTGATGACGAAAGTTTTTTCTTTCTCTTTGGGTCATGTTGCCTCAGTAGGAAACGGCTGACTTGCTAAAAAAAATTTGTGTCATAATATTCACCACACACACAGCTCTCAAATATGATGTCTTCACTGCCTCCAGTCTCCTCTTCAATGCAAAGTTCTCTTCTTTCCTACATATCCTAAGCTGAGCCTCATTCTCCCCATAAAAACTCTTCATTGCTTTTAATAACTTCCTAATTACACCATACATTCCTTCCCTATCCACCTTATCATATGCCTTTCCCAAATTCATTAATGCTCACTTATATGCTTCAATATAAACACTTACTCTACACATCTACCCTTCCTAAATCTTCACTGTTCCTCTGCAACCCTACTTTGTCTTACCCTTAATTCTTTAAATAATAATTCTACCCTGCACTTTACCTGGTAGATTCAGCAGGTTTATTCCTCTATAATTCTTACAGTCTCTCTTTCTCCTATTCCCTTACATACTGCCTAAAGTTTAGCCACTTTCACCAGCTTATTACTTGCTTCCTGCATGTTTTACATGACACCGGGAAAGGCAGTGCCTGCATTCTGAATAAGGGGTAAGGATGCTGTAATTGGAGAGTAATCTGAATTCTGACATCAGCCCACTTCTGGCAAGATAGTGATTGAATGAATGATGGTGAATGCATTTCCTTTTTTTTTTTGTGGGGTGGGGGGGGACCTTCAGCTTTGGTTGGAAACAGCCAAAAATATAAAAAAGAAAATTTAACCCAAAGAGTCAATGCAATTCTTAAGATTCTTTTTTAATATCCTACAAAATAACTTCTGTTTTTTTATAAATCAGAATTTTTATTAAGCTTCTGTACTTATTACACTGATTTTTTTTTTTTTTAATTTTTCTAGTTAGTTTAATATGTTTATTATGCACCCCATACCCATCCTGTGGGCGGTAGTCAAAAGATTACAGAGGTACATAATGGGTCCAGGGACTGGGCCTCAAAGTTTTGATAGCTGAACAAGTTACAGAGGTAATGAATTCACAATTTACAAAGGTAATGAACTCACAATTTACAAAGGTAATGAACTCCAGGTAGGTCTAGTCACAATCATTACAAGTTACAAAGGTATTTACAGATTACAGAGGTACACAATGGGTCCAGGGACCGGGCTCCAAAGTTTTGATGGCTGAACTAGGTACAAGGTAATGAACTCACAAGTTACAAAGGTAATGAACTCACAAATTTTTCTAGTAAATCTTCAAAATGCCAGTTCACATAGATCTTTTCAAGGACCCCACTTTGGTGGGATACGGCCAGTTTGTTAAAAAAAAATTTTTTTAACTACACTCCCTTTCCTTCAAACTTGATTACCCTCATTTGCCCAGGGGTACAATGACCCCTATGGATTTAGCACTTTCCTACAACTATAATAACTGCAAATTAAGAATTTATTGCTTAACCCTTAAATGGTCCAAACGTATATATATGTTTTTTCAACATCTGAAAGTATGTAAAAAAAAATGTAGATCTTTTTTGTTTTACATTTGAAAACGAGTAAAAAAACTTTTATCTACATTTTTTGTTATATTTGAAAATATTTAAAAAAAAGTAGATCTACTTTTGTATCACTACGAATCTGAACGTCGATCTCTTTGGACCGTTTAAGGGTTAAAAGTTGCAAGAATTATTTTTACTAGTCATATGTTATAATAACAAGTAAGTGGGGAAATATTTGCTACCAAACCTGAAAGACTTGAGGCACAGGCTGCACACATGTGGGCGTTCATGAGTGTGCGTCAGCATGTGTATCTTGAGATTATATTTCTCGGTAAATGCTTTATCACATTCCTGGCACTTGAATTTTTGAGTAGCATGAGTGCGCTGGTGCCTCTCCAAGTAGGTTTTAGACTGTAACTCCTTTCCACAGGTTGGGCACTGATAAGCAGGATTTGTGGCCGAGTTGCTTGACATTTTATTTTCTTCATCTCTGCAAAAGTGAAAAAAAATATTCTATAAATCTGTATTTTTTTTTTCAACAAACCGGCAGTATCCCACCAAGGCAGGGTGGCCCAAAAAGAAAAACTTAAGTTTCTCTTTTTAAATTTAGTAATTTGTACAGAAGGGGTTACTAGGCCCTTGCTCCCGGCATTTTAGTCGCCTCTTACAACACGCATGGCTTACGGAGGAAGAATTCTGTTCCACTTCCCCATGGAGATAATAGGAAATAAACAATAACAAAAACTAGAAAGAAAATAGAAGAAAACCCAGAGGGATGTGTATATATACGCTTGTACATGTATGTGTAGTGTGACCTAAGTGTAAGTAGAAGTAGCAAGACGTACCTGAAATCTTGCATGTTTATGAGACAGAAAAAAGACACCAGTAATCCTACCATCATGTAAAACAATTACAGGTTTCCGTTTTACACTCACTTGGCAGGATGGTAGTACCTCCCTGGGTGGTTGCTGTCTACCAACCTACTACCTACAAAATCTGTATTTAATAAATATTAATCTATGTACTACACAGTGAACCCTCAATATAACAAATTAATGGGGGGATTGTCAGAGCATCCTCTAGTGCTCTACAAGTGTGGTTTGGAGCCAGGCAGCAAGACTTGCAAAACTCATAAAACCCTTCAAACATATATCAAAGGTTTCAAAGATGTTGTATGCATAATATAGCACTGTGCACACAATATGCAGGTACAGTGGAACCCCAGTATGTGACCTTAATTCATTCCAGAAGGCTGTTCAAGTGCTGCTCTGTTTGAGTATCGAACAGTTCTTCCAGTGTGGCTAGTGTGCCATTACATTATTTACAAAGCCAGTGTGGACGATTCCACGCATAGATGCGATACATTTTGTCATAGTCCATTGTTTTTAGTGCTTGTAACTGCTAAATAAGCCAACATGGGCCCAAAGAAAGCTTCTAGTGCCAGCCCTGTGGTAAAGAGGGTAAGAAATACTATTGAATTGAAGAAAGAGATCATCGCAAAATGCGAAAGTGGAGTGTGCGTCTCCGAGTTGGCTAGATTATATAACAAACCCCATTCAACCATCGCTACTATCTTGGCCAAGGAAAAGGCAATCAAGGAAGCTGTTGTTGCGAATGGTGCAAATATGCTTACAAAACAGAGATCGCAAATACTATTCGAAGATGTGGAGAGACTGTTGTTGGTGTGGCTTAACGAGAAACAATTACCCAAGAAACAATTAACCCCAGAGGGTTAGCCACCCAGGATAACCCGAGAAAGTCAGTGCATCATTGAGGACTGTCTAACTTATTTCCATTGGGGTCCTTAATCTTGTCCCCAAAGATGCGACCCACACCAGTTGACGTACACCCAGGTGAACAAGAAAAAATGCCTGGAACTAGTGCTCATATTGGTGAATTTAACCCTTAAACTGTCCAAACATAGATCTACGTTTTTTCAACATTTGAAAGTATGTATAAAACGTAGAGGTTCTTTTTTTTTTTTACATTTGAAAATGTGTAAAAAAACTTTGATCTACGTTTTTTTTTTGTTATACATATTTGAAAATACAGTGGAACCTCTACTTGCGAGCGTGTCCACATGCAAATTTTTCCAAATACGAGCAGTCGTTGGGTCGATTTTTTGCTTCCATATGCGAGCAAAATTTCCACCAGTGAGCAGACCTCAAGGCAGGTTCCTTGATCTCGGGAATTGTATCTCATTTGTTTGTTGGACTATCTTATTGAAACTTGGGCAACGTATGATGGAAAGATGCTTCTTAACCTACACCAAAAATGAAAGAAATCTAAGCATAAATAATGGAGTTCACTTCTCGGCAATTAGCCACCCCCTAGCGGTAATTTCGAATGGTTTTTATGGTAGTATTCTCGTTTTTTTGGTCTCATTTGATAGAATGGAAGATATATTACAGAAATAGATATGATTTTGATTGCTTTCACGACAAAAAGTACCTTGAGATAGAGCTCAACCTAGGAGAAATGGTCCATTGCTTGGCTGTTTCAGAGTAAACAAATGACGTCACTGTCCATTCCAATATGCAGTCGTGAATGGGTTGACATTATTTATACAATTATTGCAATAAGGAATAACAGTAAATCTTATATTTTTTGTGTGAATAAAAATTACATATTATTTATATAATAATAATAATAGTAATAATAATAGTAATAATAATAATAGTAATAATAATAATAATAATAATAATAATAATAATATGTATAATAATACGTAATACGTATAATAATAACAGTAGTATAATATAATACAATAATAATAATAATATATATAATAATAATGTACTACATATAATAATTATAATAACAGATGGCTTCAAAAGGCCATCACTAGATGGCAGTGTTTACCGCAACAAAGAGGGAGTGGTTGTGGCCGCCTCCACCTGTTACATAATGACATATTTTATTCATTTTAGAGTATATATCGTGTTTCTATATTATTTATATTGTTTATGTCATATTAGATGAACTGTGATGTATAAATAAGCTGTATAGATGATATTAGCAAAATTATTCATGAAGTAGTTTGCCCGGTCTCCAGACAAACTCTCGTCCACCGCCAACACCGCCCATACCACTACATGAATGACATGTTTTATTCACAGTATATATCAGGTTTCTATGTTATTTATATTGTTTATTATGTCATATTAGATGAAGTGAGATAGATAAATAAGCTGTAGAGTTGATATTAGCGAAATTATTGAAGTACGTACAGAATTCCAATGGAATGGATTAATTGCATTTCAATTAATTTAAATGAGGAAAATTGACTCTGCAAACGAGCAAATCCAGTTGCGAGCAAGGTCATGGAACGGATTAAACTCGCAAGTAGAGGTTCCACTGTATGTAAAAAAACGTAGATCTACTTTTGGAGTACTATGCATGTGAACGTAGATCTGTTTGGACAGTTTAAGGGTTAAGACCAGCAAAGGTTGGTTTGAGAGATTTAATAATCATAGTGGCATACACAGTGTGATAAGGGATGCGAAGCTAACAAGTCTTCAATAAAGGTATGTAATAGTGATTCAAATGTTCTTAATTTATTTTATTTAGTTATCATTGTTTTGTGTATGTAAAACTATAATTAATCTTTAAAAAAATTATTTTTTGTGAATACTGTATTTCTGGGTGTTTGAAATGGATTAAATGTATTTACATTAATTCTTATGAGAAATACTGCTTCAAATTTAGGCCATTTTGAATTTAGGCCGACCTTCTGGAATAGATTACGGCTGAAAAATGAGTTTCCATTGTAAATGGAAAAAATTGCATTATCTAAACTATAAAGAAGACAGTAAGTAAAAAAGCAAAACAATTTCTTAAGTCTGGATGAGGATCTGAGATACAAAGAAAATCCTGTCAACAAGTACCTGTTTACAGCCCTTTGACCCCTTTCAGATATATACAGTTACTGAGTAATAGCTCAAGGCGACATACCTTTGTGTTCGTGATGCTTCCTTCTCCCAAAATAATTTTGTTTTTGACTCGGCTTTAGACTTTCGTCGCCGAGGCTGGATAATCTGAACACTCACTTCTTGTGGAGGTTCTTGACTACATATATTTTCAGCTTCCTGTAATAAAATACATCTGCAGTATAGGAAAATAAATCTAGTAAAAAAAGACAATACAGATTATTAACTGCCAATGGTTAGTAATCCAGGAAAACACAATAAAGCCAATAAATGTAGCTTATTTCCACTAGAATCCTATTCTAGGTCCTCGCCACCGACAACAGTCAACTAACTCCAAGGTATCTCTTTGCTGCTAAGTGACAATGTAAGGTTTTAAGATACTTTGTTATATGTCCCATCTCATAGTGGGATTCAACCCCATGTCATCCTGGGTATGAACTACCAGGTACGAGACTGAACATACTAAAATCATTACACTGCCTATTACAAAATGCAGAATGCAGTATTGGTAATGTGGTGCATTATGGGCAATGCAGGGCACTGTGAGAATAAAATATATTATGGGAAGGTGCCAAAAATAAACAAAATAAATGCTGATACAATCTGTATTTCCTGTATTTCTTTGTCTTGTTAAAACAACTTTACAAATACAAATACAAATTTATATTCCTTTAAGCCATACAAAATAACATAGTTTACATGTAATAAAACAATGGTAGGCACAAAAGAAAGCCACTAGAATGCAATCCAATTCAGGCAAACTAATCCTAATGCTTAAGAACTACTTAAGAATTAGACAGACTTTTGAGGATAGTGAGGCTAAGGTTAGAGTATGTAGGTGAGAGGGAGATTACTTCCCAGTAAAAGTAGGCCTTAGACAGGGATGTGTGATGTCACCATGGTTATTCAATACATTTATAGATGGAGTTGTAAGAGAAATGAATGCTTTGGTGTCGGCAAGAGGTGTGGGGTTAAAAGATAAAGAATCTAACACAAAGTGGGAGTTGTCACAATTGCTCTTTGCTGATGACACTGTGCTTTTGGGAGATTCTGAAGGGAAGTTGCAGAGGTTGGCTGATGAGTTTGGTAGGGTATGTAAAAGAAGAAAATTAAAAGAGAATATAGGAAAGAGTAAGGTGATAAGGATAACAAAAAAATTAGATAATGGAAGATTGGATATCAGATTGGAGGAGAGAGTATGGAGGAGGTGAATGTATTCAGATATTTGGGAGTGGATGTGTCAGCAGATGGGTCTAAGAAAGATGAGGTGAATCACAGAACTGACGAGGGGAAAAAGGTGAGAGGTGCGCTGAGGAGTCTGTGGACACAAAAAACTTTATCCATGAAAGCAAAGAGGGAAATGTATGAGAGTATAGTTATACCATTGCTCTTGAATGGGTGTGAGGTATGGGTGGTGAATGTTGCAACAAGACGGAGGCTGGAAGCCGTGGAGATGTCATGTCTGAGGACAATGTGTGTTGTGAATATAATACAGAGAATCCGTAGTTTGGAGATTAGGAGGAGATGCGGGATTACCAAAACTATTATCCAGAGGGCTGAGGATGGGTTATTGAGATGGTTTGAACATGTATAAAAGATGGAACAAAATAAAATGACTTCGAGAGTGTACGTATAAATCTGTAGTGGAGGAAAGGCGGGGTAGGGGTCATCCTAGGAAAGGTTGTAGGGAGGGGGTAAAGGAGGTTTCGTGTGTGAGGGGCTTGGACTTCCAGCAAGTGTGTGTGAACGTATCAGATAGGAGCAAATGGAGACAAATGGTTTTTAGGACTTGACATGTTGTTGGAGTATAAGCAAGGTAACATTTATGAAGGGATTCAGGGAAACCCGCAGACCGGATTTGATTCCTGGAGATGGAAAGTACAGTGCTGGCACTCTGAAGGAAGGGTGTTAATGTTTCAGTTTTATAACTGTAGTGTAAGCATGCCTCTGGCAAGACAGTGATGGAGTGAATGATGATAAAAGATTTTCTTTTTCGGGCCACCCTGCCTTGGTGGGAAATGGCCGATGTGTTAATAAATAAAAAATAAAATATAAATAATAATTAAGTAATATTTCTTTTGCAGTTCACAAGATTACATTATCTTTCGTAATGAAAGAGAAAGTATACTACATGGGCGGAGTTAACCTCGGCATCAGCAGCAATTGCCTCTCCATGCACAGTATATTTCTCAATGAACTGTAGATAAAGCTAGGCTGTGATTCCTTCTTATGGAAAGAAACACATAGGCTATTTTCCACTGAGGCAGGTGACCAAAAAAGAAAATACACTCAGTATCACTTTCTATCTAGTTGTCTTGCCAGAAATGCAACAACATAATGATCTAATGATGAGTCACTCAACAAAGTTACACTTTTTTTTTTTTTTTTTTTCAACAAGTCGGTCGTCTCCCACCGAGGCAGGGTGACCCAAAAAAAAGAAAGAAAATCCCCAAAAAGAAAATACTTTCATCATCATTCAACACTTTCACCACACTCACACATTATCACTGCTTTTGCAGAGGTGCTCGGAATATAACAGTTTAGAAGCATATACGTATAGAGATACACAACATATCCCTCCAAACTGCCAATATCCCAAACCCCTCCTTTAAAGTGCAGGCATTGTACTTCCCATTTCCAGGACTCAAGTCCGACTATATGAAAATAACAAAGTTACACACCATTAATAATACTGTAACAATAATAATATATAAATAAATAAGTTAATAATAATAAATAATAGCACCAACTACAGCCCTAACCTGTGCAGTATGAAGTAAAGGTGGGTCTGATGTATGAATCTCATTCTCAACAGGAAGTCCCACTAAAGACTGAAGAAGATTTGGACCATCCACAATGTTTGGTACTTCTGCAAAAATAATTATTTTCGGTATTAATCTTTGCCACAGATAAAGTTCAACATTATCCAAATATTAATGTGGGAAATTTTACAAAGCTGTCTCCAACCAAGGAAGACTTGGTTGTGTTTAATACCATTTTTAATATGATTCCTCAATACTCAAGGCCTCCTTTATTCCCTCCCTCCAACCATTCCTTTGGATGACCCCTATCTCTCCTACTTTCCATCCCAGATTTATACACCTCTCTTTTATTATCCAATCTCTCTCTAACCTCTCTAAATGCCCAAACCACCTTAACAATCCTCAAAACTCCCTGCTGTCCACACTGTTTAATTTCTATGCTCTGAATTGTTGCATACTATTCATATATTTCCTTTAAACATGACATCTCTACTGCCTCCTTGCTGCAAGGTTTGAAGTCCATGCCTTCTACCCATATAAAAATGATGGTACCACTATATCCTGGTGCATTCCCCAGTCTACTTCCATAAATTTTTTCTTTCCATAGATGCCTCAACATACCTACTTTTTTTCTTCTCATCTATTCTAGTGTTAGTTTCATCTTTCACAGACCCATCTGCTGACTTCCTCCATACTTTCTCCTTCCAATCTGATATTTAATCTGTCATTGCCTAGACTTTTTGCTAGCATCACCGCCTTGCTCTTTTCTATGTTCGCTTACAATTTCCTACTTTCACAAACCCTCTCAAATTTATTCACCAACTTTCGCAACCAGTCTTCAGAACTTCCCCAAAAAAACTAAGTCGTCAACAAAGAGCTAATGTGACAACTCCCACTTTGTAGAATATACGTCTTTTAATCCTCGGTGGGAGACGGCCAACTTGTTGAAAAAAAAAAAAAAAAAAATCTTCAAGATCCTTGCATTCACTTATTTTACAATCTCATCTATAACCATATTAAACAACCATAGCAACATCATGCAACCCCTATTTAAGATCTATTTTCACTAGGAAATGGTTCTTTCACTTCCATTAATATGACAATAACTCACAAAATCATAATAACACAATTGCAACAAACCATACCATGGGTGGGGTTAGAATTCCAGACCGATGCTAACGTGTTGGACTGGAGTTTCGAGACTTTCTGATTGTGGGTTCTAACCCCAACTGTGGTATGGTTTTATATGACAATAAATTAAATGTAATAAAAGTCATTTCAGTTCAACTCTTTACACCAGATGCAATATCCAAAATCTGTATACTGTACATATATCCCATATGCTAGTTCATACTGCTCAGTGAAAAAATCCCACTTCAAGAATAAAATTAATATATTGGTAATGACTAACCTTCACATGTTTTCTGTGGTGGCATTTTTGTGACAGTCATGGCAGGGTGGTACTTGAGGCGTTCCTCTGCATCTCTTGGAGAGTTCCTCAGTGCTAGTGATGATGGGACCTCACTAGCAGAAGCTTCAGCTAGTGTTAAGAGAACACTCGCCACAGACGTGTTTGTTTGGCTGCTTACGTTACATTGCTGAACAAAAATTATTTGAGTAGACATTACACATAAGAAATGCAATTAAATTTAGTACTGTAAAATCAAAAATTTAAATAAATACAGCCTCTCCTCACTTAATGATGGAGTTCCGTTCCTATGACCACGTCATTGAGCGAATTTGTCGCTAAGTGAGGAGCATACTATAATGGCAGTGAGTTTGTGTCAACCATCTTTGATACTGTTCTAAAGTTGCCTTTGCACCATTTATAACATTTCTCATATATTTTTAAATGTTTATACAGCAGTGTACTGTAAATTGAAATAAAAAGAATAGAGGAAATCAGCTCTAATATACGTTATTTAGGTGTGAATGCTGGTCAGAGAGCCCGTCGTAAGTCCAAGGTGTTGGTAAACGAGTACATCGCTACGTGAGGAGAGGCTGTACTGCAAATTATCCTTGGGAAAGTAGAAAAAGACTCCTTCCTCCGTACGCCATGCATGTTGTAAGAGGCGACTAAAATGCTGGGAACAGGGAACCCCTTCTCCTGTATAAATTACTAAATGTTACAAGAAAAATTTTATAATGTACTTTATTTTTATTTTTTTTATGGGGTCACCCTGCCATGGTGGAAGATGGCCAGTGCTGAAAAAAAAAAAATACTGCTAATACATATGTGAATACTTATCATCCTGCCAAGTGACTGTGAAATGGAAATGGTAGGATTGCTGGTGTCTTTTATTTGTCTCATAAACATGTGGGATAACAGGTATATCTTGCTACTTCTACTTACACTTAGGTCACACTACACATGCATGTATATATATGTGTAGTGTGACCTGGGTTTTCTTCTAGTTTCTTAACAGCTCTTGTTCTTTATTTCCTCTTATCTCCACGGGGAAGTGGAAAAGAATTCTTCCTCTGTAAGCCATGTGTGTCATAAGAGGTGACTAAAATGTCAAGAGCAAGGGGCTAGTAACCCCTTCTTCTGTATACATTACTAAATTTAAAAAGAAAAACTTTTGTTTTTCCTTTCAGGTCAACCTGCCTTGGTGGGATACAGCTAGTGCATTAAAAAAAAAAACAATGTGAATACCTGCTTGAAGATTACAGTTAGTTTAGATCAATCAACATTACATCTAAAGAAAAATGGCAATTAATATGGTGCAAATTTCACTGGGATATCTTAGGTTCTCCTGGAACTCCCAGGTCCTGATAGACAGTCTTCCAGTGAAAATATTCTTACATCATCTTAATTGTCTATAAGTGTTAAAACACACATGAAGGAACACAAGAAAATTTTCTAACCTACTTGACTGGCAGACCACAATGCCATAACCATAAGTTAACATGAGTCGCCAAAATAATGCCAGAAAGCTTTTTTCAACAAAGTAGTAGACAATGGAAATGTTTACAAGATGTAATAAGTGGAATAGCCTCGACAAGACTAACTTTTTTTACATTACTCAACATTAAACAAAACACCACAAAATTAGCCGTGTTCTTAGGGCTACAAATAACTAATCATTTGTAACATTTGTCCCTTACAATAGTTTTTTTTTTTTTTTGCCTCAACAGCCATCCTTCACCCACTTACAGTGGACCCTCAGTTAACAACATTAATCTGTTCCAGAGAGTTTGTCTTTAACCGATTCTGTCAATTTTTTTTTTTTTTAACAAGTCGGCTGTCTCCCACCAAGGCAGGGTGACCCAAAAAGAAAGAAAATCCCCAAAAAGAAAATACTTTCATCATTCAACACTTTCATCTCACTCATACATAATCACTGTTTTTGCAGAGGTGCTCAGAACACAACAGTTTAGAAGCATATACGTACGTATAAAGATACACAACATATCCCTCCAAACTGCTAATATCCTGAAACTCCTCCTTTAGAATGCAGGCATTGTATGTACTTCCCATTTCCAGGACTCAAGTCCAGCTATATAATAATACCTGGTTTCCCTGAATCCCTTTACTAAATATTACCCTGCTCACACTCCAACAGATCGTCAGGCCCCAAATACCATTCGTCTCCATTCACTCCTATCGAATACGCTCATGCACAAGAAATAATGGAAATCCAATTAATCCGTTCCAGACACCCAAAAGTATTAAACAAAATAATTTTTTTACATGAAATATACATTTCCCTACACAGAAAACAATGAGACATGCAGAATAAATACATTAATAATTAATAAAATAACACTTAAATTTATTGAAGACATATTTGATGAGTGATGGATGAGATGGGAGGAGGGCAGAGGATGGAGGAGTTTACAATTGTTTGGAAGGGGAATCCCCTTCCATAAAGACTTCAGGTAACAAGCCCTTTTCTGGGGTTACCTCCCTTCTTTGTTTTTTAATGCCACTAGGACCAGCTTGAGAGTCACTGGACCTCTGTCGCACCAAAAATCTGTCAAGAGAGCTCTGTTTCTGGCGTCTCTTTAAGATTTCCCTAAAATGGGACACAACATTGTCATTGTACATGTTGCCAGCACGGCATGCAACAGCTGTGTCAGGGTGATGTTCATCCATAAATGTTTGCACATAAGAAAGCAGGAACACTGCAGCAGGCCTGTTGGCCCATACTAGGCAGTTCCTTCACAAACCATCCCACTAACAGAATTGTATTTGCCCAACCCAATTTTCAATGCTTCCCAAGCAAGAAGGTAGGGAAGTTTTTATTGCATTTATGGATTTAGAAAAGGCATATGATAGAGTGGATAGGGGAGCAATGTGGCAGATGTTGCAAGTATATGGAATAGGTGGTAAGTTACTAAATGCTGTAAAGAGTTTTTATGAGGATAGCGAGGCTCAGGTTAGGGTGTGTAGAAGAGAGGGAGACTACTTCCCGGTAAAAGTAGGTCTTAGACAGGGATGTGTAATGTCACCATAGCTGTTTAATATATTTATAGATGGGGTTGTAAAAGAAGTAAATGCTAGAGTGTCTGGGAGAGGGGTGGGATTAGATTATGGGGAATCAAATACAAAATGGGAATTGACACAGTTACTTTTTGCTTGTAATACTGTGCTTTTGGGAGATTCTAAAGAAAAATTACAAAGGTTAGTGGACGAGTTTGGGAGCGTGCGTAAAGGGAGAAAGTTGAAAGTGAACATAGAAAAGAGTAAGGTGAAGAGGGTATCAAATTATTTAGATAAAGAAAAATTGGATATCAAATTGGGGAGGAGGAGTATGGAAGAAGTGAATGTTTTCAGATATTTGGGAGTTGACGTGTTGGCGGATGGATTTATGAAGGATGAGGTTAATCATAGAATTGATGAGAGAAAACAGGTGAGTGGTGCGTTGAGGTATATGTGGAGATAAAAAACGTTATCTATGGAGGCAAAGAAGGGAATGCATGAAAGTATAGTAGTACCAACACTCTTATATGGGTGTGAAGCTTGGGTTGTAAATGCTGCAGCGAGAGGCAGTTGGAGGTAGTGGAGATGTCCTGTATAAGGGCAATGTGTGGTGTAAATATTATGCAGAAAATTCAGAGTGTGGAAATTAGGTGTGGAGTTAATAAAAGTGTTAGTCAGAGAGCTGAAGAGGTGTTGTTGAGGTGGTTTGGCCATTTAGAGAGAATGGATCAAAGTAGAATGACATGGAGAGCGTATAAATCTGTAGGGGAAGGAAGGCGGGGTAGGGGTCATACTCGAAAAGGATGGAAGGAACGGGTGAAGGAGGTTTTGTGGGCGATGGGCTTGGACTTCCAGCAAGCGTGCGTGAGCGTGTTTGATAGGAGTGAATGGAGACGAACAATATTTAGGACCTGACGAACTGTTGGAGTGTGAGGAGGGTAATATTTAGTGAAGGGATTCAGGGAAACCAGTTATTTTTATATAGCCGGACTTGAGCCCTGGAAATGGGAAGTACAATGCCTGCACTCTAAATTAGGGGTTAGGGATACTGGCAGTTTGGAGGGGTATGTTGCGTATCTTTATACGTATACTATGCTTCTAAACTGTTGTATTCTGGGCACCTCTGCAAAAACAGTGATTATGTGTGAGGTGAAAGTGATGAATGATGATGAAAGTATTTTCTTTTTGGGGATTTTCTTTCTTTTTGGGTCACCCTGCCTTTGGGTCACCCTGGCCGACTTGTTAAAAAAAAAAAAAATCTATTTACTCATGTGCACGTCCCCATCAAATTAAATCATGTGTGTGGGGAAGTACCCTGGCTGGTATATATGGAAGTACCCTGGCTGGTGTGTGGGGAAGTACCCTGGCTGGTATGTGGGGAAGTACCCTGGCTGGTATGTGGGGAAGTACCCTGGCTGGTATGTGGGGAAATACCCTGGCTAGTATATGGGGAAGTACCCTGGCTGGTGTACATAAAAAAGCAGGAACATTGCAGCAGACCTGTTGGCCCATACTACCACCCTCTACCACCATCACTACCACCACCTCTACCACCACCACCACCACTTTTGTATCTTTCTACAAACTTTTCCTTGAATTGTATGGTGTTTATCACCCTCTTTACCATGGTATGTGGACACGTTCGGGACAATTGTCTTTAACCGAGTTCTTTGTCGTTAACTGAGCCAATATTCTGAAGCAAAAACATGTCGTTATCCGATTTTTATGTTATCCAATGACGTCGTTAACTGAGGGTCCACTGTACACTAACAAACTTCTGCCGCAAACTCCAGCAATGCATTCTTAAATTTACCCCCATACCTTCTCGACCTCCTCCCCATTTCCTGTATTCTTTCCAGCCCAATTTAACTCTTAAACTGTCCAAACGTAGATCTACATTCGTGTGTGTATAACTCCAAACTTTCTATTTTACATGCTTTCTTATGTAAAAAAAAATAGATCTACGTTCGGAGTGCTACACACATGAACTTAGATCTACGTTTGGACAGTTTAAGGGTTAATCTCAATAGTTGCTTACAACTTTTCTGTTTCCTTCCTTAGTTTATTCACTTCCACTTCTCTCTTACCCACTGATGCCATTCTCCTTGAAGACCATCGTCTTCTTAATAATACAGTATTACAGATACTACTAAATAATGATCTGACATATCT